CCCACAACGTATCGAAAATGTTATTATAAAAAATGAAAAAAGTTTGAAAAAAATAAAAACATGAGTAAAAAAAAGACAGAGTAAGAATAAAAAGAGAAAGAGGTAGTAGATTATCTTTTTATGAACATCTCTCTATTTTTTCGTTTGACTCATTGTTTCACAATGTGTTGGGGAGTTAATAAAAACAAATAAAATGGAACAAAACAAGAAAAATTTTGAAAAACAAAAGATGAGAAAAGATAAAAAAGCTAAGAAAAAAGAGTGTGAGAGAAAGAGAAAATGAGATAAAAAGAAAAGGAGGGAAAAACGGAAAAGAAGAGAGATGGAAAGAGAGAGAGAGAGAGAGAGAGAGAGAAACAGAGACAGACGGAGAATACAAAAGTGCGGGTTTAATGCGAGATTTTATTTTCCACGATATATCATTCTTTCTCATATTCGCGGAAGTTGAAAGTCGAGTAGCTTCATGTGTGAATTTTTGGAATTATGAATTTGTGAGTACGTATAAATCTAGAATCTTCGGTAACGTATTAAATTTGTTTATACGCTCGCGAATGTATTTGTTTGTATGTTTGTTGCATGATTGTCTGTTATCTGTTTGTTGTATGTCTGTTGCATGTATCTTGCATGTTTGTTGTTTGTTAGTTGTACGTGTTACATATTTTTTGCTTGTTTGTTGCATGTTTGTAGAATGTTTGTAGCATGCTTGTTGTATGTTTGCGTTTTTTAATTATTCAAGTTTGTATACCTCTATAAATGTATATGTAAATTGTTTTATTTGGTTGTTTGGTGGTTGGTAAGGTATGTATGTGTTTTTCTCCATGGCGATGGTGATGACTGTTTATGGTTATGAAGATTTATGGTGATCTTTTACTGTCTGTACAGGTTGTTTGCTGCAAAATGTTTGTTTGTATGTTAATAAAAATTTGATGATTTTTTTAGAACGGAAGGAGTAGTATGTGCATTTTTTCCCAGAATCTTCCATTATCGCCATCAGTTTCATCATAAAAATTTTTTTTATTTTTTCTCCGTTATAGTTCAACATTTCTACTTATTTCTGTTTTTTTTTTTACATTCCATTTAATTTTGAATAAAAATATCTTAGGTTGTATCAGCAATATTTTCAGATCGTGAAATCTTGAAAAATTTAAAAATTATCCTAAAAAACCAAAAAAAGAACTTGTTAATTGACAGAAACGTCACAACAATATCCACCAACCATTCAACCTACCAGCCAACAACAAACACATCAGCATGGAAAGGCCAAGCCGAATGCTTATAAAAAAAACATCAAACAATTATCGATATGAACATTATGAACAGCAGCGTTTAGTTTTGAAGATGGCATATACAATCAATGTATGCATTCCCAACGCTTAACAAGGTAGCATTTTAAACCTTGGTTTGAACACCACAAACAAGACAGCAGCAACTACAAATCTCTATAAAACTAAGTGTGCATGGTTCACAACAACAACAAAAGCAACGACACGACATCAACCAAATAGCATCGTAACATGACGTTAAACAAACAAACAACTACATTAAAAAAACAAACAACATTTCTTCAACAATGATAATAATAAAAAATCCAAAAATAATAACAATAAACAACAACTTAACCTTTTGAAAGTTCAAATTTTATTTCACCGCTGTACATACATCCCATCTCGGTCATTTTTATTTCTGCGTTATTCTTTTCGGTTTTTTAGTGTTTAACTTTTGATGACGTGAAATTTACATGAACATAAACAAACAACCCCGTTACACGTTTAGAAAAATTGCACACACACACACGCATGCACACACACGCACGCACGCACACACACAACTCTCTTTAAGTAGTGTATGAGAGTGTGTAGCTAACAAAACATATGTGATGAATATAAGGAAAGAAATAATTTTTCACTGTTGGTTGGTTGGTCTGTTTCACATTTTGCACCAATAAATTTTGGATATTAATTTCGAACTGTACAATTATTACGATCTGTTTATACAATGTGTACATGGTGTGTACGTGTGTGTATATTTGTGTGTGAGAATCTATGTTTGTTTGTGTGTGTGTATATATGTCCGTTAGTGTTTATATCTACGTATGTATATGTGTGTTGTGTATGTTCATGTTCGATTGTGTACGCATGTCCTTAATGTGTGTGTATGTATATGTGTATTTATGTGTGTGTATGTGTGTGTGAGTGTGTGTGTATGTACATATTTGTTTGTGAGGAGCGTGTAACCGAGCACTTGCAATGTTATTTATGTATTTTACACTAAAAAGTGTAAAGTAAATTTTAATTGTTTGTTTATTAACTTTTATGTACCGGCTGACGTCTGCTTGTTTAACCTACGTGCAAGGGTTGGGTTGTGCTGTTGGGCGTTTGCTCTTCTTTGTTTGCAGATTGTTGTTGTTGTTGTTGCGTTTCAATTGTGCAGGTTCAAAGAGACACGTGTTTGTTATTCGTTGTTGCTTCGATTTGTTGTGTTTTGTTGACGTGTTAATTTGTTTGTTGTTGTTATTTGGGCGTTATCCGTTTTCTTTGATAAATACGTTCTGTGTTTCGGGCTCTCTGATTCACTGTTGCATTCTAACATTCGTTCGTGTAAGTTTATTTTGTTTATGTCTTGTTCAGTTATTCTTCAATCATACACACACCACAAAACACACACACACAAACACACACACACACACACACAGAGCCACAAGTGAACACGCAAACATACGACTACACACTCACACCCAAGCAAACTGTTGACATGCACCCCAAGCCCACATAGAAAAATAATGATTCAGTCTTTCAATAAACATTCACTCACTCATTTTTTCCTTTAGAATCATCTGCGAACGTGACGTTTGCTGATGAAAATGTTTACTTTACATACAAACAAACGCGTTTGCAGTTCAAACTTGTTCACAAACAAAATTGTTTGCAGTACAAACGTGTTCACGGTGCACACAAGCTTATGTAGTATGAACCACAAACTGTTTGTGTACACTGCCATTATATATCGTTGGATCAACGTTTTGACGAGTGGGGTTTTACCATATCAACAAACAATTTTGTTCATATCGTCATCATCATCATCATCACAACCCTCGAAACATTTGTTGTTTCACATTCTGTTTATTGATGAATTTAATAAAAACTGTTGGTATTGATAGCATCAGCCTCTGCAGGTGCATGCATGCATCTCATCTCTTCAGGTGCATGCATGCATCTCATCTCCTCAATGCATCTCTCTCAAGAAGTACACAACATGCTTGTTCAGTCATATATATATATATATATATATATATATATATATATATATATATATGCCAAAATTCATACACTTATATATATATATATATATATATATATATATATATATATATAGATATATATATACGTTTATACATACAAATTCAACATATGTGTATGTGTGTTGTTTAATTTCTTAGCTCATAAACACTTTTTATACGTTCGGTGCGATGCGTAAATCACTGCTGCCTATGTGTGTGTGTGCGTGTGTGCGTATGTTTAATGCGTTGACTGCAGATGAGTAATGGATGTGTGTGTGTCTTTTAATTTAATATATACGAATATTATATATATATATATATATATATATATATATATATATATATATATATATATATATGTATACGTTTGTGTGTGTGTGTATGTGTGTATGTATGTATGTAAATATACGTTTACCCGTGTCACAAAGTATTCGCGCTTGTTTTTATATTAACAATATTTACATGAACGTGTCTGTTATGCATTTTAACCATCTAACTGCAATAAATAACGTCAGAGAGTAAACTGGATGGTTCCATTTTTAATATTGAGGGGGTGTCAAGTTATACAAATTGAGCGTTTCATTGTATTCAGAAGATGATTGATGCTCTCCTTTATGATTCTGTTGCTTCTGTAAACATGCGTAATGTGAATTGTTGAATTGTGAATTCGTTCATCTGAATGAATGCACTGATATTGCGCTCATGAATATTCATTTATCTTTAGCATTCTAAATAAATTTTGCAATTTTTGTCATATATTAAAATTTAATTAAAATTATTTTTAAGATATTATGCATAAATGCATTTTTAATGTCAACAATGAAGCAATTTGTAAGATGAGTTTGTTTATATTTACATTTATTCGCATAATAAAAATTCATAATAATTGCGTGTGCAAACAGTAATTTTCATATGTACACAGACACTTGTGTGTGTATATGAGGTGTGCACGCGTCTGTGTGTACGTTTGTGTGTGTTTTTGTGTGTGTTTGTTTGTGTTTCCGCTTTATGTGTCAGTCTGAGAGTTGATTGGAAAATTGATACAATGGAAATAGTTGAGAAATAAAAATTGTTGACTACATATGCCGTTGGTCCTGATGATGATTGTGAAGACGATGATGATGATGATTGTGATAATACTGGTGATGGTTGTGATGATAATAATTATAACGTAGTGATAGCAATACTAACGTTAATAATGTGACTGAAATGATGATGATGATGGTGATGGTGGCGATGATGATGATGATGGTGTTTTTCTTAGTTGGGTATTTAAATTTGACGACGACGATGAAGATCCTAAGATGATTAAATTTTAAAGTCGCTACGTGATTAAGGTACAAGATTACGTGCTATCAAAAATGCAACATGCCCAATGATAATAATGACTGCAATATATGTGATGAAGACGAAAATGTCATAAAAAACATCAATTTTAATGGAAACATTTTGCAGCCAATAACGAAATAGAACTTAAGTATGAGACTTGAAATAATAGAACGGGACGCCATTAAACATTTCTAATAAATAATAACCTCAATAAAATTAATAGCCATCACAAATTTTTTTCTCAGAACTTTCAGACAACAAGATGTCCCTTCAAACACATGACCAGCCACAACAACGACGACCAAATAAATCTCCCCCCACCACCATCACCAACATCGTCATCTTTGCAATTTGTATGGCCAGTACAACACTGACCAGAGCATCAGACGAACAGGATTTTTATTTTGACCCCTCCCCGGTTGACCTGGAAGTCACTGAAGGGTCGACCGCCCACCTTAGGTGCGATGTCTCAAACAGGCACAAGATCGTTTTCTACTGGACTCTAGACGGTCGGTGGCTCTTCTGTCTGATGCTTGTTTGATGATGATTTGGTCATCAATTTCGTTGTTATTTTAAACGTTATTTTGTAAATTTTTTGAAAAATTGTTGAAAAAGCGTAACAATGGGATACATTTATTTCTAAAAGAAAATTTTGTTTTTCAGTTGAATATAATTTCAATTTAAATAATTTTTGATTGCATAATGCATAATTAGAAATTTATTCTATGAAAAAAAAAGAATTTTAAATCACTTGAAAAGGCAAGCAGCTGACAAACACAGCAAGACGCTACCAAGACGACAGTGACCTTAAAATTTTGAAGGTCAGCCGGTTCAAGGACGCGGGTTCCTTCCGTTGTGTGGCCACCAACATTTCCACTGGCATGGCTGTTAAGAGCAAGGAGGCCAGACTGCACATCAAATGTGAGTTGCTTGTATGTGCGCGTTTGCATGTGTTTCATTGTTTGTGTGTATATGGATGTGTATGTGTGTGCGCGTGCGTATATGGATTTGTGTGTGAGTGAGTGAATGTTTGTAATTTCGTGTTTGTTTTGTTTTAATTGTTGTATATATTTATTTGTGAAATCACTTGAGTTCTACTACTACTACCACTAATAATAATAATAATAATAATAATAATAATAATAATAATAATAATTCTTTTGAAATGTCAATCAAGTGTTTATTCAGTATAATCCTCTACTAATTAATACGCATAATTGATATTTGTCATTTTATTTAAATAAATATTTTACACTGAGTTTTTTTCAAAAAGAAATTCTATTTTTAAATCAATCAGTTTAGAATATGGAAATAGGAAAATAATTTTGTTGACGGCAACAACGAAGATTATTACAAAACAACTAACACAACCAAACACAACACATTAACAACAACAACAACACAACAGTAACATACACAACAACAACAAACAAACGACAACAATGATTCTAATTAAAGCAAACATGAGAAGCTTAATACTGTGACAAAGTCGACGCACACATACACACGCACGCACACATACACACACACATACACACAATACAACTCCACACACACAAATACAACAACACACAAGCAAGATAGAAGGACAATAAAAGTCATTAGCAATAGGAACATTCCAATTTAACATACATCTTGTGATGATGATTGCGATGTTGTTGGTGTCAATGATGATGATGTTGGTGATGATGTTTTGTTGATGATGATAGCACTGATGTTGTTGGTGATGATGATGATGAGTCTAACAATTATTATGTACACACACACACAAACACAGGAACACTCTAGTTAATTAATTAATTCGTTAATTAATTGATTGCTTGATTAATTTATTAATTAATTCAATTAATCATTCAGTCACTCACTCATTAATGTCGCACAACACAATGCAATACGTCATTTCCTGTTTATGGCTTAGTTTCACTTTTCGTTCTTTTGTATACTTAACATCGTTAGCCTATGTTGCCTCGTTTCTTTGACTTTTTATTGAATGTTGTTATTGTTGTTGTTGCTGTTGTTGTCAATGTAATTGCTATTGTTGTTGTTGTTATTGTAGAAGTTTTTGTTGTTGTTGTAGTAGTTTAAACGAGTATAGACGAGTAGTAGTAGTCGTAGTATTAGTAATAGTAGTAGCAGTAGATAGTAGTAGTAGTAATAGTATAGTAGTAGTAGTAATAGTAGTAGTAGTAGTTGTTGTAATAGTAGTTATAGTAGTAGTAATGATATTAGCAGCAACAGTAGTAGTAGTGGTAGCGAAAGTTAAATTAGTGATAACTACCGTATAGCAATGGTAGCAGTAGTAGTACTACCAATACTACCAATGGCATTATCGTTGGTATTTATATAGCGCCAATTATAATTTTGAATTCTCATTGGCAATTGTTAGAGTAATCTTAAAACAATCTTATAATCTCAATACTGATTCTGATTGCTTTGAAAATTTACACTGGTTTCATTTCGAATGTAATGCCGGAAACAGAAGCAGTAAGTAGCAACAGCTGTAGTAGAGACATCAGCCACAGTGGCTACATGTATTAAAAAAAACAACTAACTAGAAAGATTAGTAGCAACAGTAATTAAAAGAATTGAAAAGTAGCTGACAAAATTTTTCATGTGATTGACAGGTTAGTTTAGACAGTGACTATATTTTCAGTGGTAATATTATAAATCAGTGTGTTGTTGTTTTAATGTTCTAACTATGTCAAAAACAACAACAAACAGACAAACAAACAACAACTAACAACAATAAAAATAATATATACAATAAAAATAAAGTTAATACGGTTGATGGAAAGCCAATGATAACTAATCGCACGAACAACTCCTGTTTGTCTGCACGCTGCTGTATGTGAAACTTCAAACTGATAATCTGATAGCCTGGCTTGGTCACTTGCATGTAATATCACCACCATTTGGTTCATTCGTTCGTTCCTTTGTTCGTTTGTTTGTTTATTTTCTCGTTCGTTCATCCGTTTGTTCGATTGTTCGTAAGCTCGATCGTTTTTATCTTCATTCGTTAATTCCTTAAATCGTTCATTGTTCATTCGTTTATTCACTCATTTTGTTGTTCATTCGTTTATACGTTCATTCGTTTATTCATCAGTTTTTTCATTTATTCTTTTATTCATCTATCTATCCATTTATTTATTTAATTCATTCATTTATTATAAATTTATGAACTAAAACTTGGAAAACCTGTAAGGAACGTTTAATGAAAAGTGAACAAGTTGGAAAAAATTGTTACCTTTTTAATGAATAAATTGCAAAAATTTTATATAAGACACGCACAAAGCAAATGAATGGTTTACACAAGCAAACAAGCCTAAAAATATCAGTTTGGTCAAGTTACATCGTTTAAACGTTACATCGTTACATCGTTTAAACATTCAAACGTTACAAACAACAAACATGGCAGCATCGAATTTTTAATGTATTCATTATCTCCAAAAGAATAGGATTCTATAGCAATACCATCAATACGCACAATACGAATGATACAAATACTACATAAAAACGAACATGATAGGTTTCATGTAAAATACAAAAGTAGGTACACATAGTACATGTCTGTATATAAAATAATTAAATACTAATTAAAAATAGAAACAATTGAATTAAGCAATAAAATAAGCAATGAATGAAACGCATACTGTTACACAAACAAACACACACACAAACACACACACAAACACACAAACAAACATATACCGCCTTCATTGTTGGTCCTAACGAGGTAATGATGGATGTGCATTGAATCATGTGATGTTATGTTTCGATGGAATGGGCAAGACACGACATCACTATTTTATGACACAGTAAATGCACCTTTGTGCGCCTTTGTGTGTCTGTTTGAGTCTATGTGTTTGTCTGTGTGTGTTTTTATGGGTTTAGCGATTAAGTATTTGCTCGTGTACACGCGGTATTCTATGTGCATATTTTTTGGGATACATAACAATACGCTTGCATTTTGATTATAAGAACATAAAGCACACATATTCACACACAAACCTACACTTACATATTCACACACACAAACACACACACAAACACAACTCATTGACACGTTTTCAGCAGAGCAGAATAGAAGTAGCAGGCAACATCACGAATGTCAAATGATAATGTTAGCTTGCAATCTGTCATTAAGTTGTCGAACGTTAATTTGTCTTCAATCAAATGCTCGTTCACTTTTGTACATCGCATTTCATCGTCATCGTCACAGTCGTCATCGTCATGTTCCAAACGTCATGTGACCAGCGATGTCTTCATTATCGTCATTGTCGTTTTATCGAATTCACCATCATACACACACGTAAACGCATGCACATATACACACGCATACATACATACATACATACATACATACATACATGCATACATACATACATACATACATACATACATACATACATACATACATACATACATACATACATACATACATACATACATACATACATTTATACATGCATGTATGTATGTATGCATGTATAAATACACATATACATAGTTGTTGATGTGTCCTCTGGTTATTTAATGCTTACACAAATGGGATGATGGTATAATTTGAGTTTAATTTGCGATGTTTTTATTGTTGCTGCTGGTTTTGTTGTTGTTGGTCAAATTGTTATAACTGTTTATGTTGTTGTTGTTATGGCTGTTGTTGTTATTATTTCCGTTGTTTTTATATTTGTTGTTGTTGTGTTTGGTGACTTGATGTTATTGGAGTTGCGGTATTTGAAGGATATGCGGTATTTGAAGAATATTCACGGTGAGTAACACATGAATATTCATTTGAAGATTTTATTTTTTTCTATTATTAAGCATTTGCGTTGTTTTTAAAAATTGTCGTTGGAACAGTTGCTGACGATGTTGTCGGTATCTTTTTATTCAAAAACTAAAAAAAATCAATCTTTGGTGGGCCCGATATTGTCTCTGCCGATGTTGGCTGGCCCTGATGTTATTAACAAAGCTCCGAGTTGTTTGAAGTTGATGTAACTGCATATTTGGAATAATACTGGGGCTCTATTCATCGGATGCGTTCTCGTTCATTAATGACAGAGTTGGATCGGCTTCTGAAACATTTATAAACATTAATTATTAACATTTTCCTCTGTTGCAAAACTGCCACACCCGTTGTTAGTCGAGAATGCATTTACATGAAGAGTATTTGAACACTAATGAATGAATGAACGAACGAATGAACGAATGGATGAATGAATGAACGAACGAACGAACGAACGATGAATGAATGAATGAATGAATAAACAGGTGGATGGATGAATGAAGGAATTAATAAATGAATGAACGAACGAATGAATGAATGTATGAAGGAACAATGTTTAAAGTGCGCCTGCCTAGCTGCTTGCAATCAACTCAATTAATGAACGCTTTGTCGATACTTTCACACCGAATGATGGCAGGACACGAGAGGGAAACTACAGCAACTACAATTACTATTACTACTACTACTCTTACTACTACTACTGCTGCCGCTACAGCTACTTCAACTGCTACTACTCTCTACTACTACAATAATTTCTATTACTACCACTACAAATAATAGTAAAAATAACTATGTCAAAATAATAAAACGCCATAAAAAGCAGCATTCAAAAAATCGTTCATTGGAACAAAAGTATTAATTGTTTGGCGTAACACTTTTGTGGCAGCATAGATCTCTAACATAAATGCACACACTAACACACACACATGTACACAAACATGTATACAAACAGACAAAGAAACACACATACTCATATGAAAATATATACATAGTGACATATATGCATGTATACATACACTCACACAGACTTACATTTTGCATTGATGAAAATAAAGCGGACGAATGTTTACATTGGTTATTAAAGTTGCATTCCGTTTTCATTGCTTTATAAGACTTATTCATAATTAAAAGCAAGATATACGTACCATAAAATCTACTGTGTTTTGCATTTGTACGTTCGTGTTTTGGTATTTATATTGCCTATGGATGTACGTGATTTCTAATTTTTGTGTGCATTTGTGATATTCACATGTGTCACTGATGTACAAAACACATATACGTTCTAGAATCGTACATACGTACGTGCGTTTTACCGCGCGCCCATTATATTTATATAGCGCTGCATTTTACACTGGAATGTTTTTACGAGCAGATATTAATACTCTTCATTATTTTTTATGCTTTTCAATATCGTTCGAGGTCTGTTTGAAGATGGCCAGTTTGCTTGTGTGTGGTCAGTTTGGGCCATTCCATTATAACATGATGGTGCTTTAGTACAAATGAATGAATGGGCTAAGTGAATTTAAATTAATTTGTTAAATGCCATCTGAATAAACAACACTAAGCCAACTTTTGATTTGTATGAATTAGTTCTACAGCATTATTATGACGTTTATATTCGGAATCGGCTATTCGTAGTTTATTTAGTTTTCTTTAGTCATAACGAGGAACAAAAAATGTAAAAATTATCATTTATAAAAATTAATTAATTTGATTAACATTAAAAAATAGAAATTTTCATTCGCACACGGATATCTTCGAATTACAAATTAATATTTACAGATAATTAACAATACGCAAACTCTTTCTCTCTCATGATTAGAAACGACGAAACGGGGATCACGTGTTCTGAACATTCCATATGACGTCATCGTGTGACGCAATAATAAACAATCCATTTAATTATTATTATCCGCTGGCTCGTTCACAAATTAAATCCTACTTCACTATTATAGATCGCCTCATAGCACGATATACACCGAAAAAGAAAATTGATTTCGCTGATAGCACTGCTGGTACGACTACTGCTACTACTGCTACTACTACTACTTCTACTACTACTACTACTCCTACTATTACTAATACTGCTAATACTACTACTTCTACTACTACTTCTACTACTACTACTACCACTAGTACTACTACTACTTCTACTACTACTGCTAATACTACTAATTCTACTACTTCTACTACTACTACTATTACAACTAATATTATTAAATACTTTTCTACTACTTTTTCTACAAACATACGCGCGCGCACAAACACACACACACACACACACACACACACACACACACACACACCATAATGTACTGACTGACTGGCAGACCAAAACCTTGCACTCTCTCATAGATACATAAATACAACTAAGGATTTGAAATGCTAGCCAAACAGCGCGATAAATAATATTTCAACGTCTCGGATAATGATTTATCAATTAGTTATCTTTATTTATATTTTTATTTAAAAAAAAACCTCGTATGAATTTTTAAGTTTACGCTGTGTTTTTCAACCACATTCCATTTGAATGTACTGCAATTCACATGCACGCATGCATGCATTGCACTGACGTAGATGCATTCATGTTTGTTTTGCTTTTTTATTGTTTCACGTTTAATTGCGTCATAAAAACCTTCAGCGTTAATTTTATCATCTCATCGCCCAACTTCAACGCTCTCCTTCGGTCTCTTCTTTGATTTCAACAAATGTGTTCTATTACATTTTTAATGCATTATTATATGATTGCAGATGTATGCATATGTATGTATGCAAGTATGTGTTTATGTATGCATTTGTATCTATACAGTAAGAAAAGCAATAACATTGCAGCACCATAAAACTTCACTTTATGTAACCAAACACACAAAATAAGCAGACGTACATTAGCACAATCTCACATAAAATAACGCGCACACACACGCACACCGCACACACACACACACACGCACACTACGCACACACACACACACACATACACACACACAAACATAAATGGAAACAAAAAAACACAAACATTTTTCAACCAGGGATTGACGACAAAGTAGAAATAAAAGTAATCAGCTCTACGACGTCTTCATCATCCTCACCAACATCATCACCATCATCAATGTCATCATCGTCTTGGTCGGTGTTGACCTTGGCCCAGGGTTCAGAGGTGACCTTGAGGTGCAGTGCGGCGGGGTACCCAGAACCATCTGTTGACTGGTATCGTAATCATGTCAGGTCGGTCACGTGATGTTCTTGTTAGCTGGTTGTCATTGCATGCATTGCTTGTGTGTTTATCTTTATATCATCACGATGATCATTCATTATCATCGTTGCCATCATCAGTCAGCTTAATCATGTCACATCCTCTGCCTGGCTATCATTGTCAGTGATTTTATTACATTTTGCCTAAACTTCTAATTGGGTTTCATTATTGCATGCCACCTAAGAACAACACAAGACTCCTTCCTACAGACTCCTTCACCGTCACTATCATCATCATTATTCTTACACCATCATCATCATCATCATCATTATCGTTACACTTATTAAGAACATCTTCGCCATAGCAAGATCATCATCATTTCATCATCATCAGCAGCACCATCATCATCATCATCGTCATTATCCTCTTCTTCTCCCCATCCCACACCTCCATCTCATCCTCCCCATCCCACACCTCCATCTCATCCTCCCCATCCCACACCTCCATCTCATCCTCCTCATCCCACACCTCCATCTCATCCTCCCCATCCCACACCTCCATCTCATCCTCCCACCGCCCACCTCCATCTTTCGCAGGTTGAAACAATCGGACGGCATAAAATTTTTAAAGAAAAATTTGAAGATCACTACCATGACCATCAGCGACAATGGCGTCTACACCTGTCGCGCCAAAAATGTGGCGGGCGTCAGGGAGAGCGCCAACAGGATCGTTATCGTTCTTACTGGTTTGTAGTTTTTCTAGTGATGAATTTTTATTAGATTTCATTCAATTCCCACTTCTGTGGAAGTAGTTTCTGTTGATTTTAAATTTATTTTCTAGTCATATGATTTACACGTTGTTATTGTACGTTAGTACACACATTATAAATTTTAAGGAATTTTTGGAAAGCCTAAATTTTTGTTGCTAATGTTTTCTGGTACGGGCAAGCAGCTAGATTTTTCAACATTGCAAGTGTACCACGTGCGGCTCTAACCCATATCATGATTTATCATCGGACTTTGAATAAATTGAATTATGCGCGTGGGCTTGAATATAACGAATTGCGATCATTCATAAACGCGTATGCAAATTCAATTTCTGATGAATGTTGCGAGTAAATTATGGAGAGGAAGCTATCTTCCTAGCATTAATATTTTGAAATTTTTTCAGGTGAATACAAATTTTTGGCCAAAAATATTCGAAAATTTATATTTGAATTTGATGCCATAACTCTGTGAAAAAGGTTTCCTGTTAATTTCAAACATTGGTGTCGGTGATGATGTCTTACACCACAATAATTTGGAGTGGAGACAAACCTGTATTTCTGGCGTATTCCAATATTTTCAAAACGCGTGCACGTTTTTAAAATTGTTGGTTAAAATTTCTGCCATCATGTGAGTAATTTTGGCGCGTTGGTTTCGGTTTGTTTGTAGCATTAACTTGTCTTCAAAAATGCTGCAAAAACCAGCTCCACTGAATTTGGAAGCAATGGAGTGGGCATTTACACTCTACGTGGCTGTATTCAACACAAGCATTGGATGTAAAACATACAATATATGCAACTGTAACACAAGCAACTCAAATTATAGACACAAAAGAGAATATACCAATCTGTTCTTCCCGACAAAACAAAACAACATGCAACAAATTTGTAACGCAACCGTACAGACATTAACCGCGCAGCGATATGAATCTGACACGATGCAAGTTAGCTTCGTGCGGTTATTAGACACACCATAAAGTTTAATTTGACGGAAAATTGCGCTTCACGCATCGTCTGGCCGGTGGTGCTTTCAGTTAGATCACGTAGAATTTCTGCCCAGACATGTGTTCCTCTTCTCGTTATTTATGGGCAAGCATTTTTACGGCAAAACATCAGCAGTGCCATTTCGTCCCATCCTGCATACAAAATCTCTTTCTCTCTATATATCTTAATATCTATCTTTTTTCTTTTATTTTTGTTGTTTCTGGTTTTTTATTGAAAAAAAACTGTTCATATATATGTTTGTTCATATTTTTGTTGTTTAGTTATTTTTGTCATTTCTGTTCTGTTGATGCTGTTGCTGCTGATGAAAAAAAGATGATAAGAATGAAAGTGAATATAATGGTGAGGATGATGAGGATCATAATGGTGAAGGTAACTGAGATGACGATGAATATAAAAAGTCGTCTTCATCATCATAGTCACTTTGGGAACATATTACAAAAACATAATTTGACAAACACTTACACGCACGCAGACACAAACACACACACATAAAAACACACACACACTCACGCACACACACAAACACACACACATAAACACACACACATAAACACACACATAAACATACACATACACACACACACACACATAAACACACATTATATTTGTCTGTCTGCAGATGGCCCCATGGAAAAGTATCGTCTAGCATAACGAATAAAAAAAGTTTAAAAAAGTTAAAGCAATACTCTTCTTGGCAATTCGTGATAAGACTTTATACTAATAAAAAAGCATGTGCAGTGTCAATGTTGTTGTTGCTGGTCATGTTGTGTGTATAACTAGTAGTAGTGGTAGTAGCAGCAACAGTTGTGTCTGATTTATAAGCAGCAGTAGAAACAGAAGTAGCAGTAGTTGTCGTTGTATATGTTATTTGATATTGATGTTGTCGATGTAACAATTGTTAAATAGTTTTATTGGGATTTTAATCATCGCTAAGTGACGAGTTGCTAAAGAAAATGGTTTAAATGTTAAAGTTTATTATTTATGTTAATTAATTGAGGCGCTTTTTGATGTTTCTGATAAAGTTAATGTTATGTGGGATATCTTCTTTAGCTGATGTGATAAATCATTCTGTTAATGTTGTTGTTAATGTTGTTGTTATTGTATTCTGTTTCCGTTCTAGTTGTCTTATCTTTATTTTGTTTACTTTTTATTCATTTATAAAAGCCTCAAAGCTTTCTCATTTTATGCTAGTTGAATTGCTAATGTTGTTGGTTTTGGTGTTATCAGTGTTGTTGTAATTTTTAGTTGCTGTTTTTGATGTTGTTGGTGTGTTTCATGTTGTTCTGTTATGTGTGTTTTTCTTTGTATGTGTAACATTATATGCGATTTATCATATTCTAAACATTTTTGCTTTTTCGGTATTTCGGTTTCGCGTACATGGTTTATAATACTTCATAATATAATTTTTTGGCTTGATTTGTTTATTTTCGGAATTATTTAAATTTTTTGCAAAAACATTTGGAAAAGTTTTTAACAAAAAATAACCAATTTCCTATGTAAGACCTAAAATAGTGAATGTCAAACGCCGAAATGAAAATAGCAACAATATTCATTTATATTTTTTATTGGTAATTTCTTAACTTATAATTATAATTATGACTATAATTATAATATATAATTTTATTTCATTTTTATCGATGATTTTCTTTTTAAATCCTGCTTGATAGGCCTCTTTGTAAAGTTTTTATAACGCCATTTATTGCTTCTTCGTCTTTTTCATCTCTTTCTTCATCATCTTCTTCATCCTCCTCCTCCTTATCATCGTCGTCGTCATCATTGTTATCATCATCGTCATCATCTCGTTAACCTTGATTTTAATCCTTTTCAACCTTTCATCATCATCATCATCATCATCATCATCATCATTATCTTCTATATCAATATCATGTTAATCATTAACTTCCTTTTTATCATCATCATCTTCGTAATCATCTTCATCATCGTTGTCATCATCGTCATCCTCCCCCTCATTTTCTCCTATAGATGTTGATGTTGATGTACATGTGCTCCAGTATGTTATTCGCACGTAAATGCAATTTTTATGCTTCTAATTTTTATTTCTTTCTGTGCCTAGGTGTGAGTGTGTATGTTTGTACAGGAGTTTGTGTATGGGATCATATGCCTATCTGTGTGTACTTGTGTATGTGTGAAGATGCTATGCATATTTTTTGTGCCACTTTGTGTGTCTGTCATTGTATGTTTGTCTTTTCGTATTTACGTTAATGTTTGTTCATTTACTTAGAAAATACAAATTTAAATTGTACATAAATTTATAAACACACAAGGGTAAACAAACACACTTACACAAAAACACATACACAAACATACATACACACGGATATTAAAATATACATATTTAACATACAAAGAAGTATATACAAAGATATATAAACCTTTTTGCTCGTGATCCAGTGAATAGAACGGAATGGGAATGGGCATAGATATTTTAAAGAATGGAGGAGAAAAACGTTCCGTCCATCTTGCATGCAGACGTGCATTTGTAACAATGAATTCAATTTGACTGACTTGCTTGCTTCTTCAATCACTTTCTGGTCGCCTAGATACAATTCCCATCAATATTTTTTTTCCTTTCTCCAAGTTTTGAAAACATTCAATGAGATCGAATTTCTATACCAAATTGAATAAAAAAATCCCATTTGCAGATAAATTGAATAGTTTTTTTTAGAAATTTATCGGATAAAATAACAAAATTTGATGCAATGTAACTCATCTGATATGTAATGGATATATTTTTCAAAGATGGCATTGAGACATAAAACTTTTTAAACAGTATAAAACGCATTCTATGAATAGAAAAATTTTTTTGTTAGCAGTTACAGTAAAAAACAAACAAAACAACTTATAGAATATCAAATTACATAAAAAATAGCAGTACGATGGCGTCTGTTTACGATATCAACCTATGTGTTTTAGGTCGGGAGTGACTTATTTTTCACGATAACGCGTGATGTGATATTGAAAGGAGTCTGTCTCTCTGGTCCAGTGTCACAGCCTGACTCCAATTCAAAAAGCGCTTTTAAGAAAGATCATATGATGTTGCATGCCTTTTACTAAATACCACATTATGAATGTAGTGGATTGTATTAAATTAATATTATTAAACTAAATTAATATTTACAAAAAATCAGACAAATAAACCGTAAATGTATGCATATAATTTTTTAAAAATAATTTTAAAAATGTTTTTACGTAATGTACATTTTGTATATAACTAGTTGAATAGCTTGCATATGTGCGTGTGTGTATGATTGTGTGTATGTGTGTCGTGTGTGTGTCATGTGTGTGTCATGTGTGTGTGTGTGTCGTGTGTGTGTGTGTGTGCTGTGTGAAATTAAAAAATAAAAGAGAATTTCCACCAAACATAATTCCATAATTCACATTATTTTATTTTTATATATTGCTAATTTCATAGCACGCATCTGTAATATACAGGTTAGGATTATTTATGTGTGTTCGTGCGTGTCTGCTGTTTCCAAATGGCTTGTACCTTTTAATGATTTTATATGCTGGTCGGATACAATTTGGTTCATTCGACTGTAGTATTTGTATAACTTTATTCAATGTATTAGGTAATTAAGCATTATTGTATTACTTCACGATATTTTTGGATGTATTTCAAAATGTAATTCGTAGATATGTATGAAAAAACGCCTCGAAATAATAGTACTGGCCAGTCAGCCAACTGTCCAACATCATTGAATGGTATGTATGTTGGAAGAGTAGATATTGGGTGAGAAACAGCATTGTAAGGATAACTCATTGAAGAAGTGTGTGTGAGGTGTGCAAAGGAATACAGTGCAGGAAGAAATAATTTCATCAGAGCTTTGGTCCATTTGATACACGCTCACATGAGCACATAAACTGGAGCTACATCAAATGAGATAACAAAATATTTGTTTGTTCTTTTCATATGCGCAAAATGAGAGATAACAGAAGAGTTTTTTGCCTTTAGTTTGTTTTATATTTTGTTGCGTGTGCGTGTGTGCTTAAATTTCTTTCAACTGTTGTTTGATGGAGTGACTGCAAGAATTGTCATTTCTACGTTAATGAATTGGGTGGGTCTTAGAACTAAGAATTATTTTTTACTAAAATGTTGAATTATTGAATAAGTTTTTTTATTGCAGTTAAAATTAGAAATATACATACGTTTCATGCTTTATTGCAGGAGGGAGAGAGCTGATATCATGCAATTATTTATTAGAAACGGTTACAAAAAACTGATTGGCGTTCAATCAACATGCAACATGTAACGCACAGTGCACGGCTTACATCATAAACGTCTCAATCACAAAGACGTTCATAGACATAAGTACACATTACTGGAATATATCCATGTAAAAAATTAAACACACGGTCACGAACAAAAAACAACCTTCCGAACAGGAGACCCGACGACAGTGGATCTGGAGACGTCTACATTCCGACCACACCTGCTCGTCAAGCCATTCGCACGAACCATCATCGACTGCCACTACCACAACGCACGCCTCGTTCGCTGGAAGTTCAATGACGTCATCATCGCTGACAACAACGGTGGTGGCTACGTGGTGAGAGGAAGAGGAAATAATGAGGATGATGGGGATGATGGGGATATGGGGGATGGGGGTGAAGAAGTTGAAGATGATATACCAAATCAAAAGTTTGTTTATATCTTGTATTGAATTAATATCTTTGGTGTAATTATTGAGGACTTAATGAGTGAATGAGAGAATGAGACAGTGAGTGAGTGAGTGAGTGAGTGAGTGAGTGAGTGAGTGAGTGAGTGAGTGAGTGAGTGAGTGAGTGAGTGAGTAAAGAAATGATCCAGTGAACGAATGAACTAACGAATGAACGGATGATGGAGCGCATAAATAACTGACCAGATAGATTAATTTTGATGTCAAAATGTAACATAAACAATGGTGCCTGCTTGAATGTCGATGACAAATGATTGCATTTCTACATGGATGGATAGAACGAGGGATGTATGGATGGAGGAATAGATGGATGAATGGATGGAAAGATGAATGGATGAAGGCATGGAAGGATACACAAACATACACATACAAATCTGCTCACACACACACATATAAAAATGACATAGGCTTCAACGTTCTTATCAACACATGTTTGGTTGATACAATCTCTCGGTACACAATTCAATCTACATTCATTCGCAATCTACACACAATTACGTTAATACCACATACAAAAACTCGTTACAAATATTTGTTATAAAGTTATAACGTTACCAAAGAATAGGAGAATGTCGATATGAAATTGTTAGAATTACGGGATCTGTGATTGCATGCTTTGGGCTCTTCATTAGCTCTTATTGTGTTGTTCGGTGTATATTTCTCTATCCATCTATCTGTTCATTGAACTATCTTTTCTATTTATCTATCTGTCTAATTATCTATCTATCTATCCATCTATATATTTATCTATATATTTATCTAACTTTCTATCTATTTATCTATCTGTCTATCTATCTATCATCCATTTGTTGAGGTTGACGTGGAGTTAAAGATGAGGAATAATGTTTTGTTGTTCATGATGGAGTCGTATCATTGTTGTTGTGTTGCATTGATGTCATAAACAATCCAATTGCTAATTAATCTGATAAGAAGAGAGAAACAAATCTGATAATGAACTAACGATCCGAAAGCAATTAAATTGTTATTGATGCCCATGCAAATGAGTCACTGCCTGCTTGGCTGCTGATCATGTCATCTTGCATCTTTCCCTTGTATCTTTTTGTTTCTGCGTTTGTTTGTTTGTTTGTAAGAGTGTGTATGGGTGTGTGTGTGTGCATGTGTGTGTATGCATGCATATTTTTTTATATGTATGTGTTTGTATGTGTTTTATACGTGTGTGTTAGTCTTTGCGTGTTTACATGCGTGTGGGAGGTTTTTGCATTTGTAAGTTTTGTTTAAACAAACATTCATTTTCAGTTTTTCAAGTCGCAAGGGTACCATAAATATTTCTTTAAAACTTAAAACGAACCCGGGAACATTAACAATGCACACACAGCACTTACACAGGAAGAACACAATGCTAAGCCACAAACCGCCTTGACGCCAACGACTACACGGCTACAAAAAACCACAACGACCACACAACCATAACAACCACAACGACCACACAACCACAACGACCACACAACCACAACAACAAAACTTTGGCAACAATGTTAGCAAGAATAAAAAATAAACAACACAACAAAACAAAATCTCTCTTTACATCACATAAACAAAAAAGAACCAACAGCGACAACAACCATTGTAAATTGCAAAATGAAAAAAATAATTGCAAAAAATAAAGTAACGTCGGCAGTTGTCGGCATGATGATAATGATAATGATAACAGAATGATAATGCTTTAAACAATCAAAAATCAGATCACCGAACAAAACCAGCAACAGCAGACAACAACAGCAAACAACAACAACAAACAGCATAAACCACAACAACAACATAAACAAAACAAAAATCAGCAACAAAACTGATACCACCGATAAACAAACTTTTATAAATAGATGAACCTACCTACCTCATCAAGATGAACCCACATAAACAACTGCAGCGATTAATTCGTTTTCAAGTGTCTCGTTGCAGTTGAAATGTTCAATTAGACACGTTCTGATCAATATCGCTCTTTTAATTTATGTTCCTCTCGTTCTATTTCGTTTAATTCAATTTGTTTATGGCACTAAATGTTTTTTGTTGTTGTTTTTTTGTCTGTTTGTTTTGAAGTGTTTCATTTTCTGTTTCTGGTTAATTATTTTATTGATTTTTATGTAACCTATGTTATGTCTTTTTTTTACAACTGAATAAATAATGTTTATTTTTATTTAAAAATTAATGAAAAGCAAGCTTTGATTCAAACCGTGCGTTGTTAAAAGTATCTCGGAAAAGAGATGTTCAGATTGAAACTAATTTTTTTCCTAAAACTCAGTCACTCATTAGCCGCACCAGTAAGTATTAGGAGTTTAATTTTTAAAAATTCGTTAAATTTGATTCATTTAAATTTCAATTTATAAATCAACAAAATTTCACAGATATCTGAAAACATTATTCATACTTGTGACGTTATGATGTCATAGGCATACATTAGATGACGTAGTTGTTAGAGGAGTTTGGTTCTAGCTTGCAGTTCCAATGAGTATTATTATTGTTAATATTATTATTATAATTATTATTATGAATATTAATATTATTATGATTATTATGATTATTATTATTATTATTATTATTATTATTAAAATAATTACGTTACAGGAACTTAAAATTGGATTAGCATCATTAATTTGCGAAATTGACAGAAGACAATTTTCAACGCCTTTGTGTCAGCCTGACCTTCTAACTTGACCTTCAGAATTAATGTGTAATTGAACAATTGCTTGACAGGCGCATGTTTCTATTTTGTATTGTATATGTATATCTGTATATTTGTACTTTGTATTGTATGTATGTCTGTTTTGTATGTTTGTCTATACGTATGTATGCTTGTATTATTTGTTTATCTATATGCGTCTTTTTTGTATGTATGTTGATTGTATTGTACATTTATTCATGTTGTATTTTATGTCTGTATGCGTTTGTATGCCCGTATTGCATACTTATGTGTTTGTGTTGTATTTACGTTTGCCTGCATGTATGTTTGTTTGTATGTGTTTTTGTCATTCATGCAGGAATGTATTTTATTAATTTTTGTATGCTCCTATGTGCGTATGTATATGTGTATACTTGTTTGTTTGTACTTCACGTACAGATATATACGTACAGATATATGTATTTTTGGTATTTTTGGTATTTATGTATGTATGTTTGGACGTTTCAATTTATGATTGTTTGGTTTCTTTTTTGATATAGGATATGCTCATGTTTCTTCTACAGTTATGCAATATTACACACACACACACACACACACATACACACACACATACACACATCAACACACACACATCAACACAGTTTCATTTCATCTCATGATGGCATCTACTGTTTTTTATTTACCCATATCTTCATATTTTTGCCGCGTTGTCTTTAGGTGTTAACTTGGGTAGGTTTTTTCGATATTTCAACTTTGTCTCAAGAGGTTACGTATTCACATGGATTTAGATTTCAGACATAATGTTACAAAATTTTTCATTTGTTTCAAAAAATCTGTTGAGGATTTTTTAAATGAAATAAAATTGGAATGATTTTGTAAGCAAAAAATTTTAATAAAAATTATTTGGTTTAAATTGTTGCATTAAACTTTTAGTTTTTCTTGACATAAAATGACTATTTTTAAATATAAATATGTATTTTCTTCAAAAAATTTCTTCCAATTTATTGCGATTTTTGTTTTCAAACTAATTTAATATAAATAAAATAAAATAATATTATTTTTCGATATTTCATTTCTTCAACATTTAAATATTCAGAGAATTTCGGATTAAAAGTAAACATTTCTTAAATTTTTTCACTTCGCTTATTTTCAGGTACACAACATTATCAAACGGCAGCCTGCTAATAAAGAAAGTGACGTCATCAGAGGCGGGTGTGTACGTGTGTGAGGGTGTGGACATACATGGGCGGTCCTCTTCTTACACGTCACTAGTCACACTTGCTTGTTAGTTGTTTACTTGCCTTTGATTGGTTGATTGATAATTAGGTGATTGATGGTTAGGTGTTTGATTCATTGATTATTATAAGCTTTTTTTTTAATTTTTCCGATTTATTTTCAGAAAATTAAATCTTTTTTCATGATCACTTAACTTCAAATATCCTTTTTATTAAGAATTTGTGACAATATAACCATCCATCCATCCATCCATCCATCCATCCATCCATCCATCCATCGACCATTTCATCGCGTGTACGTTGCCAGGCAGCCATCGCTAACTAACTGACTGGATTAAGTGTCAGCCAATTTATCACACGTCCAATTATCTTCTTTGTTTATAGTTTTGTTTTGTTGTTCATTGTTTTGTTTGGTTGTTCATTGTTTTGTCTGGTTGTTCATTATTTCGTTTGTTTGTTCACTATTTTTTTATTGTATATTTTTTTGTTTGTTGTTTTGTTAATTATCGTTTGTTTTGTTTAGATATAATTTGTTTCACATTTTTTACCATATTTTTTATTTATTTATTTTGTTATTTATAACTGTGGGTATTTTGATTGTTTCGTTGAAATCCGCATCATTTTTCTTTCTGCACTAATTGATTATCCTATTTTGCATAGTATGTTGTCGTTATTCAACGATTTGTCGTTGTTATGTAATGGGTTGTTAATGTTATCAGAGTTGTTGTTGTTATTCAATGTGTTGCTGTTGTTGTTACGTAATGTGTTGTTGTTGATGTTGATATGTAATGTTTTGTTGTTGTTATGTAATGTGACGCTGCAATAAAGAGTGCCGATAATCTGTGCATAACAGCAACGATCCAGTCAGAAACACTTGGTCTCCCAACAACTCTTATCATTCCACTTACTACATTCGTCTAACTTAATTGCTGCTAATGTGTTCATTGACAGAACTATCTTTATTTAATCATTGTTATTATTGTTGTGGGTCTCTTGCTTGTTTGTTTGGGTTTTTTTTTCTGTTAAGAGTTACCTCTAGTACAGATTGAAAAATTATTTCAAATGAAAGAACAAGATCTGCGTGATGTTTTTTCATAATTTAATCATACTAGTCACAATACTAACTACTGTTACAAATAATACAAATATAATATTAAATTAAATAAAACTAACTAGAATAATCTGGCTTATTATATCGTTATTAATTTTTTTTATTAAAAAATATTTTTCAATTAATGCAACTGGAATCAACACTATCACTAGCAAACTATGACGACCTGTAAAATTATTTGGGCGTCAGTTTTTCAATGTCAGCTGCCGCGCTTGCAGACAAACACGAAAGCCAAAAAAGACAGACAGACAAGCATGCAGACAGACAGAAAGATAACCAGAGAGACAGACAAAGAGAAGACAGACAGACAGATAGCCAGACAGACAGACAAAAACATCTAAAGAAGAAAACAAATAAGCGCACATCCAGGTTATCTGTGGGTTGGGGTCAAAAGGTCAATGGACTTTTTGCGTTGAGAAGTGGAACACTTATGCAAATGATTTTCTCTGGAAGGAAAGTGTGCTGATAGACGGATGGGTAGATGAATATATTAACGGATGGATGAATAGATTGATGGATGGATTAAATGTTGGATTAAACTGTGGATTATCATTGAGATGGATTGACGGATTAGTAGAATAAAAAAGGATGAATTAAAAAACAGTTTGAAGAACGAGCTGATGATTGAATTATTTGACTGGCTGACAAGTTGAACGATGATTAGATTCTGAGAAGGAATTGTAAATAAGAAAAATGAATTTATGAATGCATGAAACAATGAAAAAATAAAAAAAATGGATGGATTGATGGATTAATGGACGAAAAATAAGGATGGAGGTTGATCAGATGATAGAAGGATGGATAGAAGGATTGATTAATGGTCGGCTAGATAAAGGAGACAGATAGATGGATGGATAGTTAGATGAAAAGATAGTCAGGTAGATGGATGGATAGATGTGCTCTGCAGAGCTTAAATGGAGAGGCGGTCCAATAGTTTAAAAGTAAATTAAATAAAAAGTGACGAACGCGCCTTCAGATAAAGTGGCATAAAATCGAGTTTATATATTTTTTTATTTTTAGTTTAAATCAAATTACGAAAGTGTTCAATAATTATATATACTTAAAACTAAAGAGGTTTCAAATTTTCCATGGAAAATTTTATACAAAATTATTAAAAGTGGGTGAATATAAATGCAAATGATTTTCTTTTCCTTCTGTAAAGATTAATAGCATCTGATGTAACGCGTTTTTCAATGTAATCCTACTTTCAAATTTCTTCACAGCGTTCATAATACATCCTCTTTATTATCGTTACACAACAACAATCAATCACACAAATGTTTATTTTACTAACAAAATTAAATCGCACTCAATACTACAAAAGCAGCCCCACACCACCATCATGGCGATTATCACCAACCAGTTCACCATCACCATAAAATTTATTTAAAATTCAGAACAAAGTCTGAATAACTTTTATTGTGGGTTACGAGCTGTCTTTAAATGAAACTTAAACATTTTCATCTTCGGCAAATTGTTCGTTAGGATGGATTTAACGTCGGCTGAGATGAGGTTTTTATTGGCGGGCGTTTGTGTTGGCACGCTCTCGTAGTTCTCCGCAATTATTATTAATATTATCTTTTTATTGCCTTTTTTATTTTTCTTATTGGTTATTATTATTATTTTTTATTGGTTATTATTAATATTATTGTTATTTGTTTATCTACTTATTTTTCTTCATATTATATATTTCCATTTTTATTATTCATTCATTGCTATCAATATATCGGCTAGTATTATTTTATGCCAATAACGATGTTGTTTCAAGGAGTATTTTATTTTCAGTTGTGGTTATACATTGACTGATGGTATTGGTGTTACCATTTAATGCAATTATATGTAATGTTACTAATGTCATTTATGTGATATTATTGATGTCAATAAACATTTATTTTTTTTATGTATCGCGAATAGAACTTAAAAGAAGAAATAACTTTAAAAAACTTCGAAATATTAAATACAAAATTTTACATTTACTGCTATAATACTAAAAGTAATGTATTTTTTAGTAATCTAAGAGAGTTAAGTAGTAAGTAATGTTTTAAAAAATAACATGGATGTTTATTCTAGTTAAGTAACTTTTTATTATTAAGAAATAAATATTGAAGTCTTTGTAAGTAAATGAATTAAAATGTGGTAATAAATATATTGCAAAGTCTTTAATTGATATAAAATCATTTTCATTAAATGTTTTCTAACATTCTTTTATCACTTTCTAGAAATTTTTTTCAGTTTTTACGACCTTGTTGCAGCGAAGTTTATTTTTCACACTCACTCTAGTAAAATTATCAGGCTATTTAGCAAGAAGGTTGTACTAGTTCGTGCTTACCTTGTTACTTCTGACGTCTTAACAGCATTAACCACATCAATAACATTAACCACATCAATAACACTAACCACATCAATGACATTAACATCAATAACATTAACCACATCAATAATATTAACAACATCCATAATAATATAACTACAACAATTAAAATAACAATAATGTTAATTGAAACATAACAAATAAGCTTAACAGTGAATAATACAAAGTTAGTAACAGTAACTTTCAAATCAACAAACTCAACATCAGTGGAAAACATAGCACTAAAGTGTTAGATCAGAGGTGGGCAAACCATTTTAGCGGCAAGTAGGCAGGTAGGTAGGTAAGTAGGTAGACAGATAGGTAGATGTTCGTAAAGGGATTAAGATTAACGTTTACACACACGGAACACAATCTTTACGAATTTATTTCACGGATTATCTTAGGAATTTGTTATTTTTCCAGGCAAAAATTTTAAATAAGATAAAAAATTTTGATCTTGTTTAATTTTCTGTAAAATTTTCCATGCTTTCCAGTTGCAATTGAATTATCGGTACTGTTATTGTTATTTTATATCACAATTATTAATATCATTATCGTGTTAAAGTATCATTACAAATATTATTCAATTATAGCTAATACAAAACCAACAAACTCATTAATTAATTAGCTAAATAAATTATTTTGATTTGAAGGGTTTCATATTCATTTTCAGTATTTTATTTTTTAATTTAATTTTTCTTTAACTCATTTTGGCAATTTTCTCATTTACTTCTTTTTGATTTAACTTTGGATTAACGCATAGAGTTGCTTTTTGAGCTCTTTATTTAATCCTATTATTTTTTGTTGTGTTACCTTTTTGCTTGTTGTTGCCATTATAATCTGTAATAATAATTTTCCTCTAGCGATTTATTTGCTTGCATAGCTGGCGTTGTTTCTAAAATGTACCAAAAAATTATCATAAATTATTTTTTTTAAAGTAGAAATACTTTTTCCATAAAAATAAATTAACACCTGAACATTAATTTATTGAATAGATAATGGATCATTAACAACTGTTTTTTAATATGTAGAGGGATAAAAACTAAACACAGAACATCACACATTCATGTCACTAACATACAACCTAAGTGTATCCATCCATCCATCCATCTATCTACTCATTCATCCATTTATCCATCTATCTATCTATCCATTCATTTATACATCCATGCATTTATTCGTCCATCTATTCTTCCATTCATCTATCTATCCATCCATGCATTAACCCATCCAACCGTCTATCTATTCATCCATCCATCTAACCATCCAACTATCTCTATCTATTGCATAAAAGCCAGAAATCGTAAATATTTCAATGCATTTAGCTGCACTCATATGGGAAGAGTATAAAATAACATCACGGAATAAGTAGGTATGCCGACAAATTTATGGTACCAAAGTGGTGTAGAGGTGGGGTGGAGTGTTGTTGTTAACGCTTATTTTTTTTTCTGTTACTTCTTGGTTGTTTTTAGTATTCTCGAGCGTTGGATTTATCAAAAATTAAAAAAAATTGAGTAAAATTCAAGTTTTTGAAATTTGTTAAATTAGGAATTGTTCATTATTTTTATTTTGTATGCTCTGTAAACTGATGGAAGCGACTTGTTATAGTACCTGTATCAATTTTACAGCTGTTACGATTCATTCCGTGCAAAACAAACAAAATAAGTAATTTTGGTATCATTTATCATTATTGAAAAACGCAATACAAAGATTACCAACAAATTGCAATTTATGGGCCAAAGAATCGTGAAAAAACTTTTTATAAAAAACGAAGACACAGAAACTGCAATGTGATTTATAACACGCTAATACAATACCAAAAAAAATAAAAATGATGGGATGACATCTGCAAAAATAACAAACTCTCACAAGTTATAAGTCACACACACATACACACACAATCACACACACACACACACAATCACACACAATCACACACAAACACAAACACGTACATTCATACGTACGCACATACGTATGCATATAAATACGTACATAAATATATATATATATGAATAGAAATAAAAGAAAGTTTTAGCCGAATTAACAAGCCAATACCGTACAGTGATACAACTTCGTATGGAAATGTAAATCTTAATTTTTGTATAAATAGCAGATCAACACTGCTAAAAAGTCACCAGTCATTGAGAAGAGCCTTTAACCAGGTTCTACGCCGTTGAGGCTGGTGCAAGAGGAACTGTGGGAACGTCGATTGGTAGTATTATTATATTAGTAGCGCAGAGCAAGCTTCGTATTGGCTGTGGCAGAATAGAAATAAAAAGGAGCGTCGGCTGAATTAGCAAGCCATGGCTACAGTGATACGATTTTGTATGGAAATATGAAGTTGAATTTTGGTAGGAAATAGCAGATTAACACCGCTGAAAAATCTACAGTCATCGAGAGGCGTTCGAGTAATCAACGAACGTGGCCCGGTCCCCCGAGAATGTAAGGAGGTTGTTTATGGTCGAAACATTTGTTGACCGGGATTCCTCCTCGGAGGAGGACTTCTCGATGATTTGGCCATAAGCGTCTATTATTTGGCTCAATTGAGTTCTCACATACATACATATGTATATATATATATATATATATATATATATATATATATATATATATATATATATATATATATACACAGATACATACATGAATACATAAACTCATATGTATACAGAAACATACACACACACACACATATACACTTGGTGATACATACAGATCTCGACGACCTGACAGAAGATTCTTTAGAACCCTCTAGAATGTCTCAGCCCATCGTTGTTCCCATTGGCGGAAAATTTGATGTCACGTGTCATGCAAGCAGGGGAGCTCCACAGCCTTCCGTCAAGTTAGTGTGTATGGATAGACAGATGAATTAATAAATGAATGGATGGTTGAATAGATGACTGAATGGATGAATGCATGGATGGATTAATACATAAATTGATGGATGGAAAGGTAGATAAAAGATTAAATAGATGAATGGAAAAATGAAGTTATGGTAAATATTTTTTGTTGTAATTAAATAGATGGATAAATGAATGAAGAGTAATTATTTCACAAAATTGCAAAAAATACTAAAAAATATGAATAAACAACTCTTAAAACAAAACAATCAATGAAAGAACAAACATGTTAATGAGCAGAAAACTATTGAACAAAGAGTTTGAGTAATTAAAGAAGAGAAAGAGAGAGAGAGAGAGAGAGAGAGAAAGAGAGAGAGAGAGAAGAAAAACGATAACAGATTTTATTGAGCGGTTGTATACTCTTGTTCTTTGTTCCTTCGTAAAGTGCATTAAACAAAATGAAAAATAAAATATGAAAAAAAAATTGCATATGTATGTATATATATTTATATAAAGGTATACATGCATGCGTGCATGAATGTACGTATGATTGTATTATTTTGTATGTATGTTTGTATGTACGCATAAATAAATAAAAATAACAATAATAAAAAAATGCAAAAAGACTCCGATAAATTGATTATAGGATTAGAAAAACTCAGTATTCCAAAACAAGTGTAATCCGTTCTGGCAGTTCTATACAAAAACATCTCACATACAAAACATACAAAAAACATTTTGCATACAATTCAACATCTAGCATACAAAAAACGTTTTGCATACAATACAACATCTAACATAAGAAACATTTTGCATACAACAAAACACCTCACATACAAAAACATTTTAAATAATCCTTTTCTTCTATAAATAATGTTTAAACTGGCCGGCCGACAACAAGTTTGTTTTTATCTCCAATGAAAAACATCGACACGATATAAGTTTTAAACTATTATTTTATTTACAAATCGATAACCAATGTTAACCAATTAATCAATAATCAACGTAAGTTAATTTTATAATAAAAGTTAATGCTCACAAACTATCAAATTAACTTTCAAGAAACTATCGCTTTTTGAATAACAATTCACTAACGTTTATCGCAAATACAATGAAAATAACAACGCAGACTCAAATATCAAATATTGCTTTCGACACAAACGTCCGATCGCTTTCCAACATCAAAAATTCAACCTCACTATTTAATATATCGCCCCTCTTATCGACGCGTCACGAACTTATTATTAGATAGATAACTTATTATTTACTATGTTATTTCTTGTTATATGGGAGTCAACCCTAGATAAGCATTTATTGCTAGGCTGACTCTTTCACTTTTTTTTGTGAATAAATGGAATTAAAAATAACTTGCTGCCAGAAGGTTTTAGTTCTTTCTCACACTGGCTGCGTTCGTAGCGACACCAGCGCCTCTGGCGGATACATTTGTGACGGTTGTAACAATAACAACAACATTTAACGTCAAATATAATTTGAATGCCCAAAATATTTTCACCATGACAAACATCATCATTACAACACCATCATTACAACACCAACATTACATCATCATCATTACAAATCATCATCATTACAACATCATCATTACGACATCATTCTCCAGACAGACTTTGTAATTATTTCTCCTTTAAAAATAAGCCATCCACGCAACAAAATCTTCCCACAAGCATCACCAAAATGAAGAAAAAAAACTTTTCCAACGTAAAATTTTCTCGAATCGATTTTCCAATTTTTGCATTGGAACAAGATTTTTCGATGTTTTATAAGTTTTTGCAAAAGCAATTTAATCCCACCGACTTCGGGATTTTGCATGGTAACAAGAAACAGACAGCACAACAGCCAACAACAGCCAGCACTGGCCTTATAAATAAAAAACCTGTCAACCGTAACAACAAAACAACAACAACCCCCAACCAAAACAACAACAACATCGATATCAACAACGACAACAACAACGACTCAATCTACACACTGCAGCTCCAATCCTTGCGCTGACATCAGTCTAAAAATACAACAACATCCACACAAAACCAACAGAAAAAACAACAACGACATTCAAGTCATCTTAACAAATGGTCATTGAAATAAAACTCGTAAAATTTTTCAAGAAAAAAATGATAGATTGACGGTCGGGGATGAATGAATGAATAAATGGATAGAAAGATGGATGGAAGGATAGATGAATGAATGAATGATGGATAGATAAATAAATGGATAAATGGATATATGAATGGATAGATGAATGAAAGGATAGATGGATGGATTCGATACATTTCAATTTATCAGCAGACTCGATATATCGATTATAGCATAAGCAGTTGAGATTTGTATTTGTCTTTTAATCTTTCTGATTTATACGTTCTGTAGGACAGAAACTTCATTACTATCAATCATCTAAGTCATCATCATTATTCGTTTCGTTTCGTTATTATTATTGTTATTATTATCATCATTATCATCATCATAGTTTGTATTGTTATAAGTTAAATCGTTGTTTCAAGTTCGTCATCATTCTAAAATGAAATCAAACGATTCATTGTTGCCAGCATCATCATCATCATCATCTTTACCATCATCATCATCATCATTATTATCATCATCATCATCATCACTGTCAATCACATCAACGTCAAATCATCACATCACCGTCATCAACATTAAAACATCACAACATTGTCATCATCATCATCATCATCACATCATCATCATCATCATCATCCTTAGCCTGGTTGTCACTCGAACTCGCGTAGAATCATCGGTGTGACAATCATAGCAATGAAATTAACTAACCTACCTAGCAAAAATCATAATTCTCCCTCACATATTCACACATACACCATCAAGTATTTTCACTCATCTAGGACTAGCAGTTTTAATTAATTATCTTAAACTTATCAAACAACGATATTTTTATCATTTATTTGCATCTTCGTCGCTATCATATCACCATCGTCTGTATTCCTACTAAATAGCAGCAAAATAAATGCACATACAGCACATACAAAACAACAGACAAACAAAATAAAACCAACAGATGAACAAGTATAAAGATAAAACAGACAAATAGGAAAAAATTTCAACTTTACTTAAAAAAGCAAACAAATTATTTTCTTTAATGGAAAATTATTTGTATTAAAAAAAGTAGCATAAAATATACAAGGCTGATGTAGAAAAATTTCCAAACTCCAGAAAACACAAACATAGTCACACATATACACAAAGACACTCAACTACACACACACACACATACACGCACATACACACGCACGCAAATACGCACATACATACAAAACACAATAACACGAGAACAAGAAAAGACACACAGTACAGTGATGGGATGCGGCAGGCAGAGGCAACAGTCTTTCTCCTGATATCAAAGATAATATAAATATTCACGCTTCATTGATCAAGTAATTTCTTCCAGTCCCACTCATCATTGTCGTCGTCATCGTCATCATAATCATCGTCACCATCGTCACCATCGTCGTCATCA